CAGACCCAAAGATCAATAGAACAGAATAGAGAGCTCAGATATAAATTCAGGCATATATGTACAATGGGAAAAAGACTGTCTCTGCAATAACTGGTGTTGGGAAAATTGGACAGCTACATGAGAGAGAATGAAACTGGATTACTGTATAACTCCATACATAATTGCTTTTTAGACAAAAACAAACATGCATAATAATGATAATGGTAAGTAAGATAATAAAATTCAGTGTTTATGAATGATCTTATTTTAAATATATATGTTTTTTATTAGGTTACTTGATCATTCAAGCAATAGTGTCATTGATTTTGTGTTTTTTTTTATAGTGGCTACCTACGTACCTCTGTCTCTCTCTCCTCTCCATCATCTCTCTCTCTCTTTCTATCATCATCCTTTTCTTTCCTCTCTCCCTCCCTTCCTTTTTTCCTTCATCTTTCTTTCTTTTTTCATTTTAAATGAGCATGCATTCTTTCTATCATAAAAAGAATATGATTTTTATTTTAAAATTAAGTGAATGAAAATTTAAAAATCAACATTCCCTTAGTTCTGCAGATGATCTTTCACTTAGCTAGCTGGTGAAAAATGCTACCTTATTAATATATAGCAGGAGTCACCCTCCTGGAAAGTCGTATCTAATGTCCGCTGTGCTTGATGCCATCAGTGCTTGCACTTTTTTACTGTGTAAAAGTCTTGTAACTGAAATGAATGGACAAAAATCAGAACATCTCATAGGGCCATGATAAAAAAATGAAGAAAAAATGTAATTGCCAAATGTGCCAGATTTATAAAGTTATATATAGTTCTTTTTCAAAGGATAGTAAATGAATTGCTATTTGTTTATACATTAAACAGAATAAATTTGGTTAATACATGAAACTATGTATTGTAATATTAATACTATAATACTGATATTCTATTAGAAACAATTAATTGTTATTTCTAGTAGAAGCAGGCCAAAGGAATTCTATAAAGAGTTCCGTTATGTTAACAATAATTGCCTTTGATGAACTGACTGTCTTTAGATTGTCAAAAGAGCATGGCCTGGGGATTGCTGAGAGGAGGGCAAAATTGTCTGGTTGATGGAAGGGTCATCCAAGTGCTGGTGGGATTTCCTCATCTTCTGACTCCACTGCTAACACATTTATGATTGACAAGACAAAAAGTGTTGTCTTAGAAAAAGTGATTTATCAGCAATGAAGTATGAATATTCAAAGATGAGAGAGACTAAATGTCAAGGTTTAAATTTATTACAGTTGACAAATTGGAAGTGATAAAAGTGAGATAAGAACTACAGTGTCACTGAAAATAAATATCTTAAAGGCAAATATACAGAAATTAACAACTGAGAAAATCTGAAGACAGAAATACAATTTGAAGTAATATCTTGGAAAGAATGGCACATGGAATAGCATTTAGATTTTGGTTCAATATGATGCTTTTACCAACTTACTTCATATGGTATTGTGTTCTTTAGCAGAATAAGATCATTATATTAAAATCAGCTCAAGAACTTTCTTTACTCAATTTTTTTCCTAGATATATCTAGGAAATATTTATCATTGTTTCGTCTCTCTTTTGTCAGATAGACAATGCTTCTTGTTAATGGGGCATTTCTGCAATTGAAAAACTGTTCATGATGCAATGTACATAAGCAAATAATACAGTTAATATGTAGTGTTCTTTTTGATTAGTCAGTTGGTTTGTTTATATTTTTATGTTTCAATGGCTATCGCCTTTACAATGGGAGATCTAAGATTAAAATGAATCTCTTCAAATCTTTACAGTATGCACTATGCTCAATAAAGGAAAGATTATATATAATAGTTATGCTTTTATACCTCTACAAACTTTACAGTGTAATTTTAGATAAAATTATTTATTATCTTAGTGATTTCACCATATAATCAGGAAAATATAATTTAAAGCATAGTATATTATTTTTTCCGTCCACACTTGCTTTGGAATTGAGATATTTTCATTCATTTTCACATCAGTAATCAAGAAATCATAATGTAGATTCTGTTGCCTTCTTAATTATATTTGTCTATGAGAATAGAAAAGTAGTTCAAATACTTTAATTACTATTATTTTGGGATTTTTTTAGTTTGGATGTTAGAGAATATATTTTGTGAATATGTGGGTGGTCTTTTTTTTTTTCTTTAAGTTCTATTGAGATAAGTCAACGGGTGAGAGAAAAAACAGGCATTGCTTTTATTTATTTATTTATTTATTATTTTGGTATCATTAATATAAAATCACATGGACAACATTGTAGTTACTAGATTCCCCTCATTATCAAGTCTCCACCATATACCCCATCATATAGGCATTGCTTACTTAATTGCTTAATCTTTTCCATTTTCTATTGATATTATTTGAAGAAACGAAGTGTTTTCTTCTAGCACGATGCATTCTTTCAGGTTAGAGCCAGAAAAAGTAAAAGGCTGGTTCAACATTATAATTAATTTATATTCTGTTTGCTTGAGCAAGGTGAAAAACAGCAATAGGTCTGCTCGTGCACAAGAAAAACAATTTATAAAATGTTAAATATGTACATTCATTAGAGGCTGTTATAGAAAAATGTATTTAACTTTGAAAAAGATACGTAACCTGAGACACATTATGTTGTTATCTATTCTCCACAATGAAAGTGAAAATAATTAAAGTGAGTGATTATATGTGCTTTGCAACGTTGTTCTAGGTATATGGATATGGTTTATGACAATTTTAATTTTTTGATGACAATTCTATAACATGATAACACTCTTAACTACCACTGCTACATCTATAATCTTCAGAATGCTAAGCAAAGGAAACGGTCTCACTTTTGAATATATTGCAAAAGCCAAGTAGTTCTGTGTGTCTTACCTTTATTTTCATGCCCTCCAGTGTGGTAGTTGAGCCCCATGTCTTTTCCACATGGCGTAAAAGTTAATCGTCTTTGCTTCCAAGCATTGGTATCATCGTGTTAACCTTTATATTTTTCTCTGCAATGTAATGTATTTTCATCAGAGTATGTAGAGGGCATTTTAAAGAACTGTGAATGGTGAATTGTTTTCTTAATTTTTAAAAGAGCTAAAATTTTTTTGACCTCAAATTCTTTAATCATCCAGAAATTGAAAAGTTTCACCAGAAAACAACAAAAAATAATCCTATTTTTTTCTGGCATTAAGGTTGCAGACCAGAATGTGTTTCAAGAAAAAAATAAATAAATATATATATGGTATGTACATAAAATATAATATATAAAATATCCATGGCCAATAGCTATCACGTAGCCTGATTCTGTTATTTACTTGAGAACTGGAAGGACTCCTGAGAGAAATATAGGAATTAGATTTTAACACTTTTTGTGGAACCAAAGCTCAAAACAGAAATCCTAGAAATGGAAGGTACCTTAATGCCTACTTATGGTCAACATCTCACCAGAAGCCCAGTTTTCACCCAAAGCCACACTCTAACTCCACTGGCATTACAGACCATAAGCTTACTAACTCCCAACATAAAATATTACTGTTAGAATTTTGTTTCTTAAATTGAGTAAAATGTATTTTCTCATAAAGTTCCTGCTATCATTTCTATTTTTGCTTTTAAAGACTCTTCAGAACGTTTCTTTAGGTGACACGTTTTTAAGTAGTTTGAGGTGGGATACACGCATCTTTTTTCATTTTGAATGTTTCCATTTTTTTTATAAATGAGAGGATTTCCAGGTCAAGCCCCATCTTGATACCCATTTTTGATGGTTCTTCAAGATGTCTATTCTCTTTTGCAGTTTGGCCTATCCCATTCCAAAGTCAGGATCATCTTGCAAAGAGAATAAACTGGATAATCAACTATATATTAGTACTAGTAATACCAGGCTTGAAGTTTTATAACTGTGAAGGTCAAGTGAGAGGAAAGTTTCCTTATGTTCTACTTTTGAGGCTATTCTTATATTATTTTAGGATTTTTATTTGTATGAAATGTCATCAGTTACAAATTATTTTCACATGAATTGTATTTTCAAAAATTTTTACACTATTTTAAGGTAATCTGGGTCCAAATATTTGTCCTTTAAAAGTATGTGGGAACTAAATTCAGTAAAGCTATTGTGTCAGGCACTGTAACATAGCGAAACATGGGAAGAGTAAAGACCAAAACCATGTTCCTTTCCCTTTAACCTAATTTAATGTCATTATGAGTAAATTAAGGGTATGTTAGGAATGACTGAACTTTTCATTATTACATGTTAACATACATACATATATATGTACTCATGAACCCCTGCACACACACACACAGATTAAAACATGTATTTTAGAACTAGAAGGGGTATTAGTGTAGTGATAACTTGGAGGAAATGATAAGAACACTAACCTTTATATGGAATCCCAACTTCTCTTAAGAGAACATTGCTGTGAAGTTCCAGTTAGGGAGCACATAATATCCAAATCCAACCTGACGTTTGAAATTATATATCAGCATTATGGAAGTTCTTTTTACTTATTTGAAACTGTTTTGACAAAGGAACCAAATTGCAGTGCGGATAAAGTGTTATTAACCTTGCTTGCTTTTATAAAGATGTCATAGACATAAATATGTGAAATATCAAAACATTCAACAATTGTATATGAAAATAAATTAATCTTTATTTTGCACAGTTTGGTCTGCCGAGTGCTCAACTTCCTATTTCTCTAATGACTACATTGATTATGCATGCAATAGAGAAGTTTTAAGTTTGGTATTTTGTATTGCTTAATTATCAAGTCTTAATGATAAGTCAGATTATATATAATATGTCTAGACATAAAAGACAACATACAACATTGAGATAACGAATTAAAATAGGTCATTTCATTAGCATAGTATATGGTTTGTAAGTAAGCAATAAGAACTTGATGATTATATTTTTAAGCCAGTAATAAAATAATAGACTTTAGAATCTAAGCCAACATGAGTTTATTTATTCAGTTCATTATCTGTGTGTTTGTATGTGTGTGTGTGTACCTGTGTGTGTCTTACAGCTGTTATTTCAAGAAACCAAGAAGGTCCAGGAGAAATGGGAAAAGCTGTGCTGATTCCTAAAGATGACCAGGAAAAAATGAAAGAACTGTTTAAAATCAATCAGTTCAACCTTATGGCCAGTGATCTGATTGCCCTTAACAGAAGTCTACCGGATGTAAGATTAGAAGGGTGAGTTTACATGTGCCATATAATCTTATACATTAGTAATATTCCATATTTCATAATATCTCAGAAATTCAGTTAACTCAGATTATTTCAGTTCTTTAACTATGTGGTTCTGAATATAGCAGGAACGTACTGTGCATGCCTATGATGAGAAATATAAACTATTACCTTCTCTGACAGAGTAAGATATTTTACTCGAAAAGACATTGCAAAATACAAAAAGCCTAACAGATTTTTCTTCATGAGATGTTTTTTTGTTTTGCTTTGCTTTACCTTGCCAAATACAAAGTAAACATGCTCTTTGATAATTTGCTTGCCTGCATAGAAAGCTTTTAACAGTCTGCTTGTTATTCTAGCATGAAAATAGCCAATTGCCTGTATGATTCTTTGACCCTTTAAAGATTATTATGGGTTCCAGCACTCTATGCTGCTATTGATAATTAGAATGCTCAGTTATCATCCACGGAGAAATATTCACTTGGAAATAATAATGATGCTTGAAAAATGATGTTGAAAAATTCAACTTTTGATTAACTGTAACTATGCTCTAGATAGCTGAAAGTATTTAAAATGGATACAATAAAAATAAAAATATTTAGTGGCAGTATTGTTATTAGTTTATAGTCATAAAGCAAACACTTGGCACTCAGAAAAGATAGGTGCTGGGATTTTAGAAAATGTCTAACTTTACAAATATAGTCCAGTGCACACTTCTATATAAATGAAAGTTGTTCTTTTAGACATGTAATGATTTCTCTATATACAATAAAATCATAGTTAATTCAAATAAATTTTGCCACCTATAATGGGTTACATGCATTAGTAGTATCATAATGTTAACATCATATTTACTAAATATGATATTTTTCTTTCTGAATTACTTCAAATAAGACCAAAATAGATGAGCCAAAATCTTGTTGACATGTTGGGAATGGATTATCAGAGGTTTAATTGGTAACTAAATAACTGGTTTTATATAGCCTTGTATGATTTTGAAATGTTTCTCTCAAGAAACCCACAAATAACAACAAATTATTGATACTTTTGGTCACCAGCAAATGGCTAAAACATTCAAATATTACATTTGTACATTCCAAATGCCTAAATAATTTTATAGGTAGTTCTGTCCATATTTATGTATGTTTCTTTGTATATATATATAGACATGTTTGCATATTTAAAGATATACAAGAAGCATCTTCCTCTAAATAGTTTTGCACAGTTTAAATGCTATGTTTATAATGTTATAATGTTGTATATATCATTTTGTTTTGTGTATTATGTTGTCACAAAGTGGGTAAATGTGATACTTATGTATTCAGGAAAACCATGTAAATACTACTTCAAATTTTTAAAAATCTTCACTTTCAACTATCAGAACATGAATATTGTATTAGATCTGGGATGATAAAGGTAAGAATTACTTTATACAGAGCTATCACTTAAAAAAAAAGAAAGCAAAATCTTCATTGAGCTGCTGTTTAAAATATTTGTGGCCAATGGTATTTCTTCCTTCAAGAATCACTTAGTATGTTAACTAATTGAGTAATTAAGCCTTAACATATATAGTAATTCAACATTTTGAAACAGAGAATTAAAATTGCTCAGGATAAAAATTATGCAAAATACGATATTTACTGTGCTTTTTTTAGTAAGACACCTCTTTATTAAAAGACTTGTTAAGCTTTAACCACATACTTTTTAAAAAATTGAGATATAATTGATATATAACATTATATTAGTTTCAGATGTTCAACAAAATGCTTCAACATTTGTATATGCTGTGAAATTATCACCACAATAAGTCTAGTTAAAATCTGTCATCATACAAAGTTGCAAATTTTTTTTTCTTGTGATGAGAATTTTTAAGGTTTACTTTCTTAACACCTTTCAAAAATCGAATACAATATTGTTAACCATTGTCACCAGGCTGAGCATTACGTCTCCATGATTTATTTATTTCATAACTGGAAGTTGTACCTCTTGACCCATTTCATCCATCCCAGGATTCTCTTCCCTCTGGTAAGAACCAATCAGTTCTCTGTATCCATTGGTTTTGCTTTATTTGTTCATTTGTTTTGTTTTTTCAGATTCCACATGTAAGTGAAATCATATGGCATTTGTCTTCCTCTGTTTGACTTTTTTTCACTAACCATGATATACTCAAGGTACATCCATGTTCTTAAAAATGGCAAGATTTCATCATTTTTTATGGCTGAATAGTATTCCATGGTATGTCTACCACGTGTTCTTCATCTATTCATCCACCAATGGACACTTAGGTTGTTTCCATATGTGGCTATTGTAAATAATGCTGCAGTGAAGATGGGAGTGCATATATCCTTGTGATGTTTTCATTTTCTTTGGATAAACCCAGAAGCAGAATTTCTGGGTCATATGATAATTCTATTTTTAAGTTTTTGAGAAATTTCCATACTGTTTTCCATACAGTGCTTCTATGAATGTGCATTCCCACCAGCATTTCTTCACATTCTGATACTTGTTATCTCTAGTCTTTTTGACAGGTGTGAGGTGATATTTCATTGTGATTTTGATTTTCATTTCCCTGATAACTGGTGATGTTGAGCATTTTTTGGCTGTGACTTTTGGACATCAGTAAGTCTTCTTTAGAAAAATCGTATATTCTGATCCTCTGCCCAACTTTTAATTAGTTTGACTGTTTTTTATTGAGTTGTATGAGTTCTTATATATATATTGATTATTAACCCCTTATCAGATATACAGTTTCCAAATATCTTCTCCCAGTTAGTAGGCTGCCTTTTCATTCTGTTGATGTATTCCTTTGCTGTGTGAAAGTTTCTGCTTGCTATTGTCCCACTCTTCCCTTTTGCTCTGTTGCCCATGCTTTTGGATTCAGATCCAGAAAATCATCACCAAGTCTAACATCAAGGAACTTACTGTCTTTTTTTCTTTTAGGAGTTTTATGGCTTCAGGCTTTACATTCAAGTCCTTAATCCATGTTGAGTTAATTTTTGTGTATGGTGTAACATAGTAGTCTAATTTCATTTTTTTGCTTGTGTCTGTTCTAGTTTTCCCAACATTATTTATTGAAGTTGGGAAGTTCAACTGTCCTTTCCCCTTTGTATATTCTTGTTTCCTTGTGTAGTAAATTAATAACTAAATATGTATGGGTTTATTTCCAGGATTTCTTCTTGTCCAATAACTTGTGTGTCTGTTTTTATGCCAATACCAAACTGTTTTGATTACTGAAGTTTTGTAATCGGGGCATGTGATACCTCCAGTATTGTTCTTCTTTCTCAAGATTGCTTTGGCTCTTCAGGATTTTTTGTGGTTCCATGTAAATTTTAGGATGTTTGTTCTATTTCTGTGAAAAGTGCCCGAGTAATTTTGCTAGAACTATATTGAATCTGTAGATTGCTTTGCATAATATGGACATTTTAACAATATTAATTCTCCCAATCCATGAGTACTGAGTATCGTTGTATTTATTTGTGTCTTCTTCAGTTTTTTTTTTTTCAAGCTCCTAGATGTGTGGTAACCCTGAAGCCTCCCTCAGGCTGAATCTCCAGGACAAGCAAATAGGTCTTTTTCACAGGAAGACTGTGGTGTGCCCAGTCTGCTGACTATGCCGTGCCCTGTGTATTAGCCTGCCAAGAACTGTCTCTCTGATTGTTTCTGTTCTGTGGGGCCCAGAAGCACAAGTCCCCTGGCTTCCGGAGCCAGGTGCTCAAGGGGCAAGGTAGAGGGAGAGTGCAAAAATAGTGTCCTCCAGGATCTGTCCCCTAAGAGAGTCACAGCAGGCCCCTGCCCATCAGGCAAATGTTCTAAGATAAGCAAATGAATTTCCTTATATATGGTCTAGGCACTTTGCAAACTGCTGCTTTTGTGTCATGTTCTGGGATGAGTGAGTCTAGATGTGAGTCTTTTAAGAGCAAAATCACAGTTCCCCACACCTGTTTGAGTCTCCAGGATGGAATCCCTGTTGATTATCAAAGCCAGGTTTTGTAGGGGCTTGTCTCACTGGCACAGGTCCCACAAGTTGATGTGTCTGCTGTGGGGCATCAGCCCCTCACTCCTCAGAGAGAAGCTCCATATTTGCGAGATCTGATTGTGATCAGAGTGTGGGCCACTTATTGTGGTCATGGCGCCAAGAGTATTTTGTTGAGACCACATCTCTGCCTTACTGGCCGTCTTGAGGTGGCTCTTTATTCTTGTGGAGGAGCTGTTCAGCTAGTTTTCAGGTCCTTTTCAGAGGGATTGTTCTGTATGTGACTGTAGATTTGCTGTGTCCAGGGGAGAGGTGAGTTCAGAATATTTCTACACCACCATCTTAAACCCCCTCACTTTTACTGTGGTTACTATTGCTTGACTTTTGAGAACTTACAAATAATCTATGAAATAATATTAGTGAAATAATTTTCTATTTTATTTTTATATGATACCACTTTGTATACTCTCAGTTAGAACACATAAATATCATCCCATATTCCTACACAAATGATCAAGTGCATGTGAGGTTTACTGGTGACATTAGCAAGTCATGTTGAATGACTCAACTGTGTGACCATCTGGGAACAAGTAATGTTGAAAAACTCACCATGAGTCAGATATTCAAAATCTTTTTTAAAAAGATGTAGAAATCTGTTAATACTCATTTTCGATTTTGGTGTTAGTGAGTTATAGTTTAATATTTAGATAGTTATATCTTTAAAAATATGGATACATGAGCCTCAACAATGACTGGTATAAATTATACAGAGATGTGTAAAAATAGTATTCACATATAATTAATTAAAAAAGAACTCAACATATAGTGGAAAACTTGAATTGATAGTTATCTGAAACTCCCAAACTGTGAACTTATTCAAGTATCTCTGCATGTTTTACTAGAATTTATGCTTAGACTGGCTTGACTGAATTCAGATAATTGTCCAAATAGTTTAATGTTGTGTTTGGCCTTAATATCAATCTACAAATATTTGAATATGTGTTCAGAGAAATAAACCCAAATAAATATCCCA